TTATAATTGTATGTAAATCTCCTTGTTGTTCAAATCTTCATGTGATAGAAAATATTTGTATATTATATTCTCTGCCCAAAGGGGGTTTTATGGTATATAAATTATTTTGCTATTGCCCAAATTTAATCTTATTGCATTGTGTATGTCAATCAGTTATTTTTTGCCATCAACAACAACATGCTACTGTTGAGTTATTTATTATTTCAAATTATAACAAATGGAGATGTATAATTTATAGAATATTTTTATTTATTGAGTTATATGCTTTCGCTTGAACTGTTTAACTATAAAACCTTTTTAAGAATGCTATTGGTTTTTGAACTCATGATTAGTGAAGGTGTTACACTTTCTTGTGGAATGCATTATGATTTTGGGCAAGATTTGTAAGTATTTCTACGAATTACTATTGGTATTACCACTAAAGTGGAATGATTTTTTATCATGTAATTTTTTTTTTATAAATTTGAGGAATGCTTTTAGTTATTTCATGCAATTTCCTGTCCAAAGGGATTATTGTGTGATTTAATTAGAAGCTTTCTTGTAATAAAGTTTTTGGAGGTGCATTGGTTTAAGTGATCTGTCTGCTCAAAGGGGACAGATCTCTGAAGCCAGTGTATGTTCATTGGTTGATTCATCTGAGGCTTTAACCTTGGTTTAAACCTTGGTATGTGCATTCTGTCCAAAGAAAAATGTACTATTTTGTTGGTCTCATTGTAATAACTTGTCTTAATTGAGGTTGTATTTTGCCCTGCAGTTTATTTGGATGCATTCGTTTTGCGTTAATAGTGAATTTTTGTTAATTCATTTGAATTAATCTAAATATATTTGATAAGTGCATCTACATGAAAGTAAGTGGGAGTATATGTATATTTTTAGTACTTTATATAGATGACATTTTATTTTTCAATAAGATGGTGATTTACTGAATGAAATAAAAGTTTTTTTATCAGAAAAACTTTTATAGGAAATATCTTAAAGTAGTTTCCTTTGTATATATGAGTACTTTAATTTTTTTTTATTCCCTTAATTAGTGGGAGTTGGACTCGAGGCTTTCTTTTGAGTGTTTTAGATTCTTTTAATTCCCTTAGTGGGAGTTATATTCAGTTTGTCTTTTTGGTCATGCAAACTCATGATGACTTTTGTGATTTTTGTTTGAATTTTAATAATTGATGATCATTATTATTGTTATTTCTCATGTTGACTAAGAAATATATGTATGAATAATATCTTTAAGCATGTTGTGAGCTTAAAGATGTATGGATGTCACAAATTTTGAGATCTCGTGTTGTATTGTGACATGTTGGTTTATTTAAACTAAGCAATTTCATGTTGTTTGAAAATTGTGTTAATTCAATTTCATGTTGTTAATAAATTGGATTGAAAAAGGCAATTTCATGTTGTTTGAAAATTGCGTTAATTCAATTTCATGTTGTTAAGAAATTGGATTGAAAAAGGCAATTTCATGTTGTTTAGAAATTGCGGTAATGCAATTTCATGTTGTTAAGAAATTGTATTATGGAGTGTAATTTCATGTTGCTTGGAAATTGCACTAATGTAATTTCATGTTGTTAAGAAATTACATTGAGGACCGATAAGAATTAGTGTGTTACATTGTTGATCACATTTTGGCACTAATTCTTACTACACTGCTAGGCCTTGATTCACGAAGATGTAATCCTCATTGTATGTGAGTATGGAAGGTCATATGCTATGATATTTTCAGTATATTGATCGTCATATTCCTATGATGGGGTTATATTGGATTGGATTGGATTGAGATGCTGGAATTGGAATATTGTTTTTAAAATCGTGGCCACGTAAAATGTTTTTCCTTGTTATTAACCCGATAGATTCGTTTTCAAATAAAAGTATTTTAAAATAAAATAAATTAATTAATATTGCCCAAGCGGGAGAATGTTAGAAATTTTATATGTGGGCAATATTATTTAATGTTTTTGTATTTTTTAAAATAATCGGGTTAATGAATATTCCAATTTATTCTATTGTGATAAGCTCATTGTGATCATATTGAGTTGGGCTTTTGACATCTTTTGGTATTGGGCCTAGTTGGCAGCACAGTGTAGGCATTAGTGTCTGATTGGGCTTCTGTGATGGGTGGACCCATCAGACACACTGTTGATTAGGGTTTTGCTAGGTCCCCTCTCTAGTCTATTTATATTGGGGTTAAGCCTCGTGAGCCGTCATGCTCCCATCGCTGAAGGCTGCCATTTTCGGAATATGTCATAGAGAGGAAGATCTGGCATGTAGTTCTCTCCTTTCTTCCGCTTTGTGATGATCCATTAAGGTACGCACAATCTCAATTTGAAATTCATTAATTTGGTGTTTTATAATCATATACATGATCCAGGATTAAAATAATTTCTTACATTTCTATGACAAGGAAAATTTTAATATAACCAAACATAGTATCAAGTAAATTAACCTAATATTTTCGGAAATATTTTAGCCTACCAAATAATTTTTAATAACATATTCGGAAAACTAATTTTTCGATCATATTTTAAAAATGATAATTTTCGGATAAAATAATTTTTCTCCCTTAGCAAACGCACATGTGTCTTTTATGCTCTTGCAACTTCTGATCAGCACGCTACCATGCTAATGTTTATTATGATTGCAATTGTTATAGATTTCTACATAAGGGAATTCGTACGCGTCAGCCAAGAAAAACATAAGCCGTTTTCGGGACTAACAATTAAGTGCTGCATATGGCATGTATTTATTAATATTCTGCACTTATTGATAGAAAAATTTTAAGTACTCCTTATGTATGAGATTTCTCTTGCGTTATATTGTTAAATATGTATCACCTCCTTATGATTATCAAAAAAATGCATTTACATAGTGGAAGCCCCACATAGTTAAAATGGTAAATATTCATTAGCACAAAAAAAATGCTTCAAAATAACCTCTCTGTTGCAGCACCAAAAACTTATTTGAGTGACAGGACAGACACTGTTCCAATAAATGGGGTCCTATAATTCTATAGCATATTCTAAATTATTTAGTGAGAAAGGACACATTAAGCAGAAAGAATTTATACCTCTATTAGCACTGTAGCGAGTTCTCAAATCAAATAAATTTCAAATTTTAAAACAAGATTTTAAAATAGATCCATAATAATAAATGCCGATTTGGATGGACTTTTATTCCTAAAAAAGTTACTTTTATTTTTTAAAATAAAAATCATTTTGAGAATTTTTAGATATTTGAATAACAACTTTTTAAAAAAGAAAAATTTAAAACAAAAGTTAAAATGCTGCTTTTTTTAGCAAGTAATTGGTTGCTTTTGAAAAAAGCACAAATTAAAAGATAATATAATTTTTTTTTGTAAAAAATAATATAAATTTAAAATTACAATTTTAACCTCATCCTATCATACCTATTTTATCTCTCCGTATCTCATAATCATGTTATTTTGTCTCTCCTTTATTGTAATTTTATATATAAAAAGTGTTTTTTATTTTATTTTAACATCCAAACAACTTTTTTTATGTAAAAGTGATTTTCAGATCATACATCCAAATGTAAAATAACTTTATCTTTTAAAAAAAATTCTTTTAAAAAAAGCAATGAATAAAAAGTCATTTTTTTAAAAGCTCATTCAAACGGGCCCTAATAAATTCAATATTTGAAATTATTGGGAGAGGCATTAAAAATATCACACAAATCATCGCTTTGTTCACCAAAAAAAATATAAAAAATAATAAAAAAACACTGCTTTAGGCATCCGGAAAAGACATCCCAATTATTATTTTCCACAATTTTGTAAGGATAGTAATCGAGAATTAACAGCAACACCAAATTCTTTTTAGGGGAATACTAGTCTCATGTTATAAAAGATTAATATTTCATGTCATAAACATAAAATATATGAGGTCCACTCAATTATTTGTTTATTTATTTTAAAAGAACGAACTTCACATGCTTTGGATTTATAACATGAGATACTAGTTTCCTACTATATGACACTAATATTTCCCTTCTAAACATATTTATAAAGGCAGGAGACAAACATCTGCTAGCAAGAATGAACTAAAACAAAAAGCGAGAACATTGGAATTGGAATTTTTTATTTTTGGTACTAATTCAAGGGTATTTTTTAATAATTATGTGATTTAAAGAAATCTGAATTAAAGATATGCTATAATCTTGAGATTTGAGAAGATTATCTTGTTAATAAATTTTTAAAATAACATATAAAGGATTCAGTTACCTTTAATTTAGAGTACTAAACCAATTAAACATTTAATATTTGTCAAATAATTAATTTAACAACCGTGTAATAAATTATCATTAATGTAAATTAAGAAGATTATAACTATCTTGTTATTAACTTATATGAGCGAACTAATATTTATATTAATCTAAATTCATAAAATGGGCTTAGTTATGGTATTTTTTATTATTTTTTTGGTGTGGATTAGTTATGGTATTATTCAAAGGGATATGATGTAAATTATTGCTTAAAGGAAACTAATATATTTATGATAAAAATGTGAATTTAAAACTTTTACTGACTTGCATTCATTGATATTTTACATTTATATTTAGGCATAAGTGCAATATCGTATATGTGATTCTATCTTAGTTTAATAAAATAAATAAATTTAACCATTAATTAGAATTCAAAAAAAGTGATATGAAAAGACAAGGGCTCCGCAACTCAAGCGTAGAACCTTCATTATGGGAATTTAAAAATTAATGTTTTCTACTATGTTATTTTCAGTTATATTTTTACAATATTATAAGATAACACATGCATGAATCGTCATTTCTTGAAACTAACTAAATTCGGATAATATTTTTCTCCGTGTGATAGGATAAAAAAATATTAGGAGAGAGAAAATCTAACCTAAAGAATGCTTGTGCAGGAGGATAGAGATAATACTTTCCTCCTTCCTATAAATATGGAACGTAGTAGGTCATAAATAAATAAAAAGTTCACGTAACTCTTTTAGGAGAAAGAAAGTAAGAGAATGTCTCAACTTGCTCAGCAAGAGAATAATGCAAATGGAGCGATGACACAGTGGACTAGGGAAGACGACATTGCCTTTGAAGACGCCCTCGCCATCATCCCAACAGGCATGCCTGAGCCAGAGTATTGGGAGAAAGTAGCCGCTCTTGTCCCTGGAAAATCACCGGCGGAGGTCCGAAATTATTATTGGGTATTGTTCCATGGCTTGTTAGAGATTGAGACGGGTCGAGTGCCGTTACCGCACTTGTTGCTGGTGCCGATGGAGGCCAACAGATGTAACTGTGAAAAGAAGAGGTTGACATGGACAGAAGAGGAACACAGGTATATATATATATATATATATATATATATGTTTGCATAAAGTGTTTTTAATTATTATTTATCTTGTTAGGTAAGATTAGAGGTGTCAAAATGGGTTGACATAACATGAATTTGACACGACAATAATTTTTTCTGAGTTCACATAGCACTACACGAATAACATGCAAACTAGGGATTAAAATGGTAATTGACAAAATAAAATAAAATAAAAGAGTCAATACTTTTTTGTGTCATCAACAAAAAATACGGAACAGATTTTAGTCCCCTAGAAAAAAAAAATATATTAGTCATTTTTTAGGAACTAATGTGAGTTTTTTTTTGAATTTCAGAGGGATCACAATTTCAAAGAACTTAAATTTTAAAGTTACCATAAATTGACTTTTTATAAGAGATTAAAATGAATTTCGAGTTTTTTTTGTTGAGAACCCAAAAGAGTATTATTTACTCAAAATAAAAAATGGATTGAAATAAAAATATAATTAAAAAATCTTTTTAGTACTATAATAGTACTAAAAGATAATCTAATGTAAAAGACTTATTAATTTTTAATTATTATTAATTTTGTCACTCAAAATCTTGGGTTCGAATCTCAAAACAATTTCTTAAAGAAGTAGAAGGATAATTGATCTCTATCTTCGTTAGTTGGAGTATAAAGAGGAAAGATTTTTCTAGAATGGTCGATTTACCATATTCCTCCTAATAAAAAGAATAGAAAAAGCCAAACATTAGAGGGAAAATATGTTTCTTATCACGAGTCACTTCAACTTGTTTTTAATTAAACTTATGATGGATTTTTCGTATATATATGTATTCTTGGATTTTTATGATATCTCTATATTTGTTTTTTTGTGATAGGTTATTTCTCGCTGGGCTGCAGATAATTGGCAAGGGAGATTGGAAAAACATTGCTAGATATTTTGTTAAGACAAAAAATGCAACACAAATTGCTAGTCATGCCCAAAAATACTCCCTTCATCTCGCTCAAGGTGCCCAAAAGAAGGAAAGGAAAAGAACAAGCATCCATGACATAACCTTAAATGCTGAAATCGACATTGTGGTTCCTGCTGATGATGTTCAAGTTCTTCAACACTTACAAAAATTGCAACAGGCACAGCAATTGAGGGACACACAATAACATGGCTGTAGATGTGTTATTTAAACTGTTGTTTCATTTTGGTATGGATTTAGTTATCTTAATTTACATCTTTTACTGTTTTAAAATTGAAGGAAAATAAATGCTTTCCAATTTGTAAAGCGAAAAGTTACATGGTTTTAGATTTGGAGGTGGTAGTTCTTATTTGAAATGCTTTATATGGATAATATATAGTCTATTATACTATGTTTGAAAAGGATTACTTCAGCACATAATTGAAAAAAAATTCTGGAGATGTTATATCTAATCAGTTGCTTTCATTATTCTTTTGTTTTTAATTATAACAGTTAAACCGCTTGAATTAATGTATCAAGTGATTCATTTAGAGTATAAACTTACTCTGTATGCTACCTCCTAGCATACATAGAAACTATTCATGTCAGGGTCGACAAAAATGAGGACTTATGGAAAAAAAAAAAAAAAAAAAAAAAAGAGTTACATTGTATGTCTGTTTGTCAATGTGAGCATCTGAATTTGTAACCATAAAGGCCAGGAATAGTAGGAGTGTCCTAAAAAGATCATCTTGCCTGCAGAAAAGAGACAGAGGGGGGCAAAAAGGGAAAACACTTCATTGAAAATTTGATCTAACATAAAAAAAATATAGGAGATAAAAATAATACACTATATCCAAACTTCTATGAACTCCTTTTCTATATCAGATTGTGTTTTGTTTAGTTTTTACAGAGACATGATTCTTGGCAATGTGCCCTATCTTGAATCTTTCTTTACGTAACATATTTTGTACTCTAGGAACATTGATAACATAAATAAGTTTTTCCATTGTGTAAATAATAATAGGAAAACTATGCAAAGATGTAAATGGTATAAGGCAATCAAAGAGTTCTTGGTCTAGTGGCAACCCAATTAAACCTTAGGATTTGACTTGATCAAAGGATAAAGGATTTAATTTCTGAGAAGTGGAGAGACTCAAATCGAATTAGTGGGACCCGTTAAGAATTCAGACACAAATTGGTATTTTAAAATAAAATAAATGGTATATGGCAAATCAGTGTTTACATCAAGACCGTTATTGGCTATGAATAAGCAGTGAGAATTGAGAAAGGAAACAGAGGTTGACGTCCAAACCTATACTGGGCTCAGCACAAGAACATGAGAAAATGATATGGAATGAGGGATTTAATAAAACCATAGACATTAAATCTTTAATAAGCACATGAAAAAGCTAAGCCTGAAAAAGTTGAAAGGTTTAGTTTTCTATGTATGTTCAATGCAACTCAACAACGAGCTTACTTTTTCTATGATTGTCTTCTACTTCACGACTGCATACTTTCAATTGGATGATTACAATCCGCACTTCTCCATAGTTCTTATGAACATATTGTCGATGGGGCAACAGGTCTATTCATGTGTCATTGTATATTAAAACGGTACAAATATCTTTCTCTAAACTCTGCCAAATTATATCACTGACCACGGAAGTTGTTTGCAATTTTACTTATAGTATTCTTTTCAGTACCTTTATAAATTTTTTTATTTATTAATTAGAGAATTGAAGTATTCTATGGGACAGCCATAACAATATTCACGTGAGCCAAAGACGTAATTTTTTATATTTAAGTCCATTAATAAGCGTAAAAATTGGATCTAGCCTTACCTCACCCAACTTGAACCTTGCCAATAAAGGATCCATCATTGGCTAATTAAGTGAAAATTTATAGGGATCTTTTAGTTTTATCAAGGTATTAGTGTTTCTCATATTACAAGAGATAATTTTATCTCCTACACACATATAAAAATGTGTGGAACTCATGTTTTATTTTTCTCTCTTCTTTCACATGGCCCCACATATTTTTATATGTGTACAAGAGATAAAATTACGTATATTAACTCCTTTTATCAATTATTCTACATCACTAGGATATTAGAGAAATGATTATTGGTTGTTCTGCAAAGTTTAATCATCCACCCCAAGTAGCTGCCCAACATTCTTGTTCTTTGGGAGATTTCTAAGTGGGTTGGTAGTTAATAGAAGTTTTTGTTTTTAGCTCTTACAACTTCTGATTAGCACGCTCGCATGCTACTGTTTATTATGATTACAAATGTTTTAGCTTTCTACATAAGAGAATTAACACGTGTCAGCCAAAAAAGAACCGAAGCCATTGTCTCGGGACCACCAATTAAGTGTTGCATATGCCATGTACTTACGAATATTATGCACTCATTGATTGAAAAATTTTAAGTACTCCTCCTTATGTAGGAGATTTCTCTTGCATTGTATTATTAAATATGAATTACCTTATTAAAATGCAGTTACATATTGGATGCCCCACATAGTTAAAATGGTAAATATTCATTAACATAAAATATGTGCTCCAAGACCAAGAATACCAAATAATTGGATCTAGATCCTCTCATGTGAAAATTCACATGATCATGTCATGTGAAGAATCATAATCATACAAAGGTGGATCAATGGTAATAAAAGAGGAGAAAAAAATATATTAAAATAGGTAGTTACGAAATCATAACCGTTGATTTACCTTTGTATGATTGTGATCTTCTCACATGACCATATCATGTTTTTTTTTCACATGAGAGGATCCATTTTCAAATATTTAACTTTGCAACATATTCTTTTCTAAATTATTTAGTAGGAAAGGACACATTAACTAGAAAGAATTTATAAAGTGAGTTGAACTGTAGCGAGTTTTCAGGACAAATAATTTTTGAAACAAAAAAACAAGATTTTAAAAGAGATGCACAATAATAAAAAATTCAATATTTGAAATTATTCGTAGAGGCATTACAGAATATCACACAAATCATTGCTTTGTTCACCAAAAATAAAAATCACTGCTTTAGGCATCCGGAAGAGACATCCCAATTGTTATTTTCCACATTTTTTTAAGGATAGTAATTGGGAATTAAAAGCCATAAAAGATTCTCTTTAACATATTTATAAAAGCAGGAGACAATAGCGTCAGTTAGTAATAACACCAGAAGAAAGAGAACCCTGTAATTGGAATTTTTCATTCATGATATACTTCTTGTTACAATCACTATTGCTTTCTGCACAGGAAAAAGTAAATTCAATCTTGTCCTGCCTCCTGCATAATATCACTTACATCAACTGGGCATTTGGTGTAAAAAAGAGACCAGTTGATGGGGTAAATCAGACATTTCTCATAGCACCTTGGGCTCTTCCAACCATTTCCAGACAGTTAGCAAACCAGTCTCATCTCCAGTGAACAAAAGGCCAACCCTATCAGGAACTATTTGTAATGACCGAACATCTTTTTGCGAAAATACCCTACCCCTTTCTGAAAATCTGTACATGTAGACATGGTCAGGGGCTGTGCAACATTTACCTAATACAGAAATATAACAACCAGAGTTACAGAAGGAAAATGGATGCAAGTTTAAGTTCACTTACGATGGCAAGTCATATATGCGAACTGAATTGTCTCTGCACGAGCAATACAGTATGCGCTTGGCTTCTGCACCAGTCACCCTTCAAAGTGCAAGAACACCCTAAAACAAAAACAAAAAAGATTTATTGTGTGAATCAACCAACTCCATGACCATTATAAAAAATATCAGCTTGATTTCTAAAATTGAAATCGCCACTAAAATATACTTGATATAAAATAAAAAAATTACTTATGCAAACATCTGGTTACACAACTTACATTTTCCTCTGTGTGCGTATATGTTACTTCCAAAGTTCCCTCCTTAGTGGCACACTGGCACCCCAGACCTTAATAGTACAGTCGGATGAACTTGATAACAGATACTGATCACAAAAATAAGGGATCAACCAAGTGTTGGTTGGAGTTTTTTTTTTTATTCTCCAAGTTACCTCAGAATGCTAGGAATTGTGTGGCTTCCTTTTATGTTAATATTTTTGGACAGGTTGTCACTGGAATAGCTCTTCCAGTTGGATCAGACAAACTTTATTCTGGCAACATTGATGGGACAGTTCGGATGTGGGACTGCCATTCTAGTCGATGTGCTAGCGTGATAAATCTTGGTGCCGAAGTTACCTCTTTGACACCGAGGGTCCATGGGTTTTTGTTGGTGTCCAGAATTCTATTAAGGTAAGCTCTTCAGTTTTCATGTTGTTTCATTTTGCAGTCGTGTCTTTTATATATGAGCATTACATGTTAGCTGATTATGCGATCATGGTTATTTTGAAGGCTTGGAATATCCAGACTGCTTCAGAGTTTACTCTTGATGGACCTAACGGGCAAGTACTTGCTATGACTGTTGGAAACTCCTCTTAGTGATGCAATCAGTTCAAAAGGGGTCTTATACTTTCAGAGCTACCTCTCCATGCAGAGATTACATCACCCTACAATTTAAATCATCATATGATAGATAAATTGATATATGACATAAAAGAACTGTTAAAGAGTATGATAGAAGCCTGATCAAAGAGCATATCTATCCAGTTACTAATTACAGAAAGAAAAAAAAGTCAGAATAGTATTAAATAACACCAATAAACCACTGCATGAGAAGTTACCTCTGCTCTAGCAAAAAGTGTATCATTGCCAATGGTCATAGCAAGGACTTGCCCATTAGGTCCATCAATATTAAACTCTGAAGCAGTCTGGATTTTCCAAGCCTTCACAATAACCATGATCACATAATCAGCTAAAATGTAATGCTTATATATAAAAGACATGACTGCAAAATGAAACAACCTGAAAACTGAAGAGCTTACCTTAATAGAATTCTGGACACCAACAAAAACCCATGGACTCTCGGTGTCAAAGAGGTAACTTCGGCACCAAGATTTATCACGCTAGCACATCGACCAGAATGGTAGTCCCACATCCGAACTGTCCTATCAGTGCTGCCAAAATAAAGTTTGTCTGATCCAACTGGAAGAGTTATTCCAGTGACAACCTGTTATCAAAAGTTTTAGTTTAAGTACTCCAAAAATATTAACATAAAAGGAAGCCACACAATTACTAGCATTCCGAGGAAACTTGGAGAATAAATTAAAAAAAAATTCT